AAGTCCCATGATCCTCCAACTAGGGTCAGGATGACCGGCTCAGGTTGACCCCTGGAGAGGAGTACTCGCTCCCAGACCGCCGCAAAAATCCAAAAAGTAGATCCCTTAAGGGGGGTTCCTACAAAGGGTTTAGGGTTTAGGGCTTTGGGTTTAGGGTTTAGGGTTTAGGGTTTGGGCAATCATCCAGACCACCGGGAGGTTCCAAAAAGTAGATCCCTTAGTGGGGGTTCCTATAAAGAGCCCTTAGTAGTATAGGGTCCCAAATTAGGGGTTCTACTTTCTAGATTTTTCCCGGTGGTCTGGGCTTGCAAGCCATGCCAGTGGCACGTGTCTTTCTTCAAGCACTTGACCTGGACCAAGGGAACAAACGGCTTCGGGGTTTAGGGTTTAGGGCTTAGGGATTTTTTGGGGAAACGCACAGCATCGACAACAATATCATCGTCGTCGTGATGGTGGTGGTGATCGTTGACTGGGCTTTGAAGTAACCAGGGAGAAAAAAGTATAGACTTTTATTTCATACTGGTTCCTTTAAGGAACAGGTCCCCCCAAAAAAATATTCAAGTATGGTACTCCAAAGCCCAGTTGAAGTACTGGTGACTGTCGTATTTGCGCTCGTGCTGGCTGTTGCGAATCTTTTACGCCAAAAAGCCTCTTCGGGTCCTGGTCTTGCCGTTTGATGTAGGGTTTAGGGTTTAGGGTTTAGGGGTTCAGGGTAAGGGTTCTACCTGTTGAGGTCCCTTTCTGAATTTGGTTCTGACGGAGCTTTGTTCGAGGGCTCGGCCTTCAAAAGTTCTATATGTTTGGCTCCTGTTCTTAGCGTTACATGGCTGAACGGTCCATGCTCAAAGGTTCTATCTTGTTAAACCCTTTTCCTAGCATTGCATGGGAGATGTAGGCTAAATTTCGCCTTGTTTTTCTATCTTGTCGGAGCCTTTATGTAGCAACATGGTTTAAGATAAGGACATGTTCAATTCTCTGCGTTTTCTGCACTTTAAGGTTTACGGGAGCTCAACCTAACCCGCTAAAGCCCTGAAGCCCTGAAACTTCTGCTTCCCTGTTCCTAAACTACTACCTTAAAACCTAAAGTCCTAAACCCCTAAACTGCTGGAAGCTCAACCCCAAACCCTAAACCCGACTAAAGCCCTAAAGCCCTAAAGAAGGGATTCCGCTGCTCAGCCTCCTATCCCCTAAATCCTATGCTGAGCTACTACCCTAAACCCTTAACTAAACCTCTAAAAACCCTAAACTCCTGAACCCTTAACCTCTACAGCCTCTACAGGCCTACCCAGAGACTCCAACATTCCTCAATTAAGGAATATTCCTTAAATTATCTTAGGATCCTTAATCCCAGATCACCGGGAGGATCTAAAAAATAGATCCCCTAAGGGGTTCCTATAAAGTACCCTTTAGTAGTTGGGGTCCCAAATTAGGGGATCTACTTTTTAGATCCTTCTGGGGGTCTGGGATATGATTTAAGGTACATTCCTTACTTTAAGGGATATTGGAGTCTCTAGGTAAGCAAAATAAGGGGGATTCCGCTGCTCAGCCCCTGGCGCAGAACTCACGGCCGGTCGGATCCTGTCCAAGGGTTTAGGGTTTAGGGTTTAAGGTTTGGGGTTTATGTTTTAGCGGTTGGAAAGCTTCGTTTCCTTTACCAAAGGGTTCCTGAGCCTTGTTAGGGTTTTTGCTGTGTTTTGAAGGTTTTAAGGGCTTTGCTTTAGGGCCCTTGACACCCTAAACGTTCTCTTGAAAACTTGAACAAGGAACAACGACTTTCACAAGCAACAGCCCAACTCAGGGTTCGACGGTTGTTGGCTGTGGGCGAGCTTTCCCTTCATGTAGGGGCGTCAATATTAGAATAGAGTTTTGGGGTAGATTCTACTATAACGATAGTAAGGAGCCTCCCAAAACGCTACTATTCCAATTGCTAAGGCCCCTGCATTGAGCGCTGAGCCCCGGCAAAGAACCCTAAAAGGGACCTGTCAAAATCCCCTTTAGCAAGCCAGGATCTAGAAAGTAGATCCCTTAAGGAGGTTCCTACAAAGTACCCCTTAGTAGTATAGGGTCCCAAATTAGGGGATCTACTTTCTAGATCCTTCCGGGGGTCTGGGTAATTAAACGCCTCAGCACCCAGTTCTACTGTTATTAGACCCTTTCTATTTCGGGGTCCCGGACGTCTTGCTCACCTGGCATCGTAACAATAATAATAGTAGTAGTAGCAGCAGTAGCGGTAGCAGTAACCACTACTATAACAACAACTACAACAACAACTACAACAACAACAACAGCAGCAACAGCAACAATAACACCGCGTAGTAGTAGTAGTAGTAGTAGTAGTAGTACTACTACTACTACTACTACTACTACTACGATTATTATTATCATTACTACTACTACTACTACTACTACTACTACTACTACTCCTACTGCTACTACTCCTACTGCTACTACTACTACTACTACTACTACTACTCCTACTACTACTCCTACTACTACTCCTACTGCTACTACTACTACTACTACTACTACTACTGCTACTACTACTACTACTACTACTACTACTGCTACTACTACTACTACTACTACTACTACTACTACTTCCAATACTAATAGTCATAAAACTAAGATGCTTCTTTCAGGTCGGTTTGGGCTTGGAGTTAGTCTCTCGCGGCTCAGACTTGCCAGGCAAAAATTTTCGACTTCGGCTTTCGATGGAGGTTTCTCTCCCCGACAGCTCTTGTGCCGGTAGCATTTCAAATCGCGCAGGTTCTGCCGGCCATCCATACGGAATCCTTTCAAAACCTCGGCGGAACACATGCAAGCCCTGCATAGGCATGTGCTGTACATGCCAGCTTCGGCAGGGCTAGTAAGGCTGCGGGACTGGACAAAACTCCACTGTGCACAAACCCTACGAAGAGCAGTCTTCGCATAATCAGGACCCTTGGGACTATGGTACCCTCAAAAGGCTACTTACTCTACTACTAAGGCAGAATCTCTCGGCGCTGACGGCCCTGTGCTTGGGCTGCTTCGCAAACCTTCGCCGAACCGAAACCTGAACCATATTCGCAGCATTGATCGGTGTAACCCTTTGAACTCTCGCACCAGTACTGGCGGCATCTCTCGTCCCGGCAGTCCCGGCATCCTTGTTCCACGCACTCTATCACTTCGGTGACGGCCTGCTGGAAGCGAGTTTTGCACTGATATGTCTCCGGCTCCGATGCTTCTCGCTCGGTTTCCTCGCAGCAGGGAAGAGTATAAATCGCGTCACAAAGGGCGCACGTTGAGGAGGTGCTCCCAATCCATCCTGAACTTGCATGAGCACAGCCACATTCCTTTTCGAGACAAAACGTCACTGCCTGGTCCCATTGACAGCTCCCCAAGGCGTCCCCCTGAAGGCCAGCACACTGACATATGTGTGGAGGATGGCTCACGTTGTGCTGCGCGCAGCAGGCGGCAACGTGAGTTGAATCCTCCTGACAGAGCTGGCAGGCCTCCCCCGAGCAGCCACTGCAGGCAGCCTGTGCGCAAGCTTTCACAGCCTCGGCATTGGCAGCACTCTCGCACATGGCTGGCGGTGATGCCGCCGAGTGGTGATGCTTTTGGCAGCAGTCCTGGATTTTCTCCGTGTCCCTTTCGCAGACCAAGTAGGCATCACCGGAGATGCCGTGGCAGCTTGTCGCCATGCAAGTCTTCACATCCTGCTCCCAGGCACATCTGTCAGGTTCGACGAGGATCTCGAGCCCTGTACAAGGACTGGCAGTCACGGCGCTGGCCAGTGCCAGGAGAAGCAGAGACACCAACGCCATGGCCAGCTGAACCCTAACCGAAAAGCCGCTTCTTGCAAGCTCAGCTACAGGTAAGGTTTAGGTGTTTAGGGTTTTGGGGTCTTGGATATTAGGATTTTAGGGTTTAGGGTTTAGGGGTTTTGGGTTTAAGGGTTTCGGGGTTTAGGTAACATGTGCTTTTGATCTTTTCCTCGTGCCCACATACTTAGAGCATCATGGAACTTAGTAAGCAAGGGTATAAATACAATGATGTCACCAAAATTAAGGTACAATTTAACTTTACTGACTAAGTCCCCTGATCCTGCAAGGGACGAGCTACTTTGAGGATCATGGAACTTGGTAAGTAAGGTTATAAATAAAGTAAAAATAACCCAACTAAGGTATGCATAACCTACTTACTAAGTCCCATGATCCTCCAAGGGAGGGAGCCTTTGATCTTTCCCGAAACTTTCGTGCCCACGCACTTCACAGCTCTTAAGTTGGAATGCAAGGGCAGTGCCACCCTTTCGCAGCACCCTTACAGAAACCCTTATAGATCCTTTTAAAGCGATCTTACAGGGGTTTCTATCCCTTTAAAGGGATCCTAGTTTAGAGAGCTATCCATCTGCAAGACAATGCGCAAAGGGCAAGTGCAGAAGCGAGACAAGAGCGCCTCAAGTTGCGCAGCCGTCGTCCAAGATGCTTCCCCTATATCCCAAAGGCTCCATCATGGACCCATATAGTCTAGACCTTGGCCTGACAATACCTAGACAGGAACCTCTTTAAACTTTGAGGCCTGAGATGGAGCCTACGGGTATCATTTGAGGACCGCCTTGCCCAACGTGAGCATTGGATATAGGAGTTAGCTTCACAGGTGAAAGCGCGTTGAAGGTTTGTAGGCTGGGGTTCTCAGGCGATACGAGTTTTTGGTGTGAGATTCGTTGCTCGGCTTCCCTTCTTGTTTTCCCGGCCCTAAACCCCAAAACCTTGACCCTAAACCCCCCCTCACGCCCGACCAAAAACAACCAACACTCAACCCAGACCCTAAACCCTAAACCCTAAACCCTAAACCTCAACGCAGAATGATCCTTGGCAAGCTTCGCCACGCCCTGGCTGCCGCGCCCCAGCTCCTCTTGCGGAGATGCACAGAAGCTGTTTTAAGTCGAAGGGGCCTCCCCAGAGACTCCAATACTCCTTAATTAAGGAATATTCCTTAAATTAAGGTAGGATCCTTGATATGATTTAAAATAGATTCCTTAATTTAAGGGATATTGGAGTCTCTG